ATGATGACAGAGGGGATGGGAACAGCATCCAGTGTCCTGTGGCAGCAGAGTCTGATGGTGTGTGGGGGCAGCAATTCATACAGGGACACCCTAACCAGGCAGTTTCTGTGGCATAACCTTACCCATGGCTCAGTGTGATTTACCTCCCACCCATTTTCTCAGCTGCCTCTGTTGCTTCTATGAGCTTTCTATATCCTTTGAATAAATTTCTTCTCTGCTGAAGTTTTCCAGTGTAATTCTTGCAACCAGGAACACAGACTGCGAAAGGTATGTATTATCATTTCCAGCTGACAATTTGGGTCGTATTATTAGTGGCTGAAATTTGAACCCAGATCCACTTGATGGCAAGCTTGTATTCCAAATCACTACCCTGTTAAGTACCATTAGTTAAAAATAGAAAATACCTCAAAGACTAGCTTCCTATGGTTTTTAGAGAATTATTTTGTAGCTTAAGGACACAAAGAATTTAGATGGTGGGTTATCACCAACTGTTGAGCTACTGCTAGGAACAACCAAGTCATGCCGATGAGCTCAGGGAGATGCCTGTGCCATCACTTTCAGCACAAAACCACTTGAGAAGTGTTAATCAGTCATGGGTCTGTCGTTGTTTTTCTGGAGTCTAGACAGGGTGGTGCTTCCTCCCTCTTTCTGCTGGCTGGTGACCGTCCCTTTTCATGCTTGCTGCCTTCTTCCCCACCTCCTCCCAAATGAGCTTTCCTTGTTGACTCCCACCACAGACTTTTCCTTCTCTTATGAGAAACGTTAGGTAAGTATTCCTGCCTCTTTCCCAAAATATAATCCTGCTTTTTTAGGAGGGATTTTTCTTTTATTCCTTTGGATTGGAAAAATGTTCCTTTGGTGCATGGGAGAGCCTGACCTTTAAAAGCCTCCTGAGAAGATGTCTCATGGCTAACCCTGGGAGATGTTTCACTATTTGGCAGCTCTTCTCATCACAGACATTCAGTTTATATCTCTCTGTCCTTAATTTTACCCCAATTTAGTCCCTCTATTCAGCTCAGTAATGACTCTGACTGTTGTTTACTCTGTGGACACTTTTCAATGACAATCACGTCTCTTCTCGGTGGCTACTCAGCAGAGCTGGGCATTTGAGAATCTTTTAATCATTTCTTTTTGTGTGTCAGTCTCTTGGCCCTCTGAGTCATATTTGTGCTCACCACTTCCTTCAGTTTGATCCCAGTTGGAAGTATGATTAGCATATAGATTTTTTTCCTGCTTCTGGCAAGGATTTTTACAATTAGTTGAAAAAAGAAGCTATAAATTTTGTAGAAAACTCAAGGTCCTACCCACCAAACTCCACTATTGCCTTCCTGGAACAATATCCTCCTTCAATAGCCCTTTTATAAAAGGGCTGGTTTCTGATAATGAGAAGTTAATTGCAAGGCTTTGATACAACATTCGAGTGGGGTTTGTATTTTGTTATCTTTTGTATTTAACTTCAGGCAGTGTTACTTATCTTAAAATTGATTGTAGCATGCCTTAAATAAATCTGCAGTGGCTTGTTCTTTTAATAACCATCACTCTTTTGTAATAGGTATCTCTCTTGTCACAGACAGCTTCTGTGATCTGGAAACTCCTATCTCCTCTGGGATCTAACGTTAATTTTTGCAGCTGTCTTGTTACCCAGCAGTATTCTTTGTTTTGCTTTAACACAGCCACCCAGGAGTATTTATCAAGCACTGCACAGTTTAACTGCCTATAAAGATTAGGCCCAGGCTATTTACTTACTGGGTTGGTTGAAATTGGCAATTGGGATAATAGTCTTCCCTTTCCAATGGCTGATGCAGCTGGCACATTTCCTGCCAGGTTGAAAAATATCAGTGCACAGTTGAGTATGTCTCTTTGAAGAGAAATTTGAAGCCGTGAATGCAAACGGGAGCCTGCTCACTGTTTGTAGAGGAATTGCCTCCTAGTTAGTTAACATTTGATAGTTAAGAGCTTGAATTTGACTTTTTCTTTCTTTCTTTTCTTTCTTTTTTTTTTTTTTTTGAGACGGAGTTTCGCTCGTTACCCAGGCTGGAGTGCAATGGCGTGTTCTCTGCTCACCTCAACCTCCGCCTCCTGGGTTCAGACAATTCTCCTGCCTCAGCCTCCTGAGTAGCTGGGATTACAGGCACGCGCCACCACGCCCAGCTAATTTTTTGTATTTTTAGTAGAGACGGGGTTTCACGATGTTGACCAGGATGGTCTCGATTTCTTGACCTCGTGATCCGCCCACCTCGGCCTCCCAAAGTGCTGGGATTACAGGCTTGAGCCACCGCACCCTGCTGAATTGGACTTTTTCAAAAGCATTTGCCTAAGCTAACTAGACTTTGTTTCTCACTGGTTTGTTTCTTGTCAGTGTATTCCTCGCGCCGTCAGTGGCTGTGCACTGCTTTCTCAGGACTTTCCCTGGGAGAGAAGCACGGACCCTTGTCTCTTTCCTTCTTCTCCACAATTTGAGCTCAGAGATCCTGGGAGGCAGCGTGGGGAAAGACGGGTGACTATATCCACCAGGAATTTCCTGAGGCATCTGTTTTGTCTTGTTCCCTTGTGACAATGATGGGTGGCCTTCACATGTCTGATGTTGTCCTATAGTCAGAACCAGGGTTATCCTCAATTCTCAGGACTAACTGTAACTCTAATCCCTTCTCATGCTACTGAGAAAGTATAATAGAGTACAAGGGAGTGAAAACGATATTATTTTAGGAAAAATATAATTCCTTTAGTTCAATTAAAAATGTAGAAACTTCAGAGCTTTATATGTTATAAATAAGTTAATTGCAACACCTCTAATCCCTGGTCAAGATCCAGGGGTGGACCCAACAAGGATTGGAGCCTTTCCCATGTTGCTTTGTTAGGATTTCAAGGGTGAAATGGCTCTCCTCTATCAGCTAATCGAACCAGAACAGAATATTTAAGAAAAAGAAGGCAAGGTGTCTTCTACTCACAAAGAAGTATATATTCCTAGTTTCCTTCCTGTAGTGAAGATGACTGGATATTTTTATAAGGGTTAAAGATTTCAAACATATTCTGTCCTTTTAAAAAATTTTATTCTCTCAATAATCTTCAGTCATTTATTAAAAAACAATAGTAAAGGGAGAATAAGATTAAGAGTGACTTTCCTTTGTGCATGATATCTGGCTACGGTTTTACAACTGGGAAACAGATTTTCAGCCTACTGGCACACTCAGTAGAGCGTGCATTTGACTACTTTCTCTCTGAAAATTTTTTTTTCTTTTTTTTTTTTGAGACGGAGTTTCGCTCTTGTTACCCAGCCTGGAGTGCAATGGCACGATCTCGGCTCACCGCAACCTCCGCCTCCTGGGTTCAGACAATTCTCCTGCCTCCGCCTCCTGAGTAGCTGGGATTACAGGCACGCGCCACCATGCCCAGCTCATTTTTTGTATTTTTAGTAGAGACGGGGTTTCACCATGTTGACCAGGGTGGTCTCGAGTTCTTGACCTTGTGATCCACCCGCCTCGGCCTCTCAAAGTGCTGGGATTACAGGCGTTCTCTCTGAATTTTATTATGTAAAAACTTCATGGGAGGAAGCTTTGCCATAAAATAGTATTGCAGGTTTTTGTAACCTTGTATGATTAGTGTCTACCAATGAATGTTTGATGAGTGAATGAGTGAACAGTCTATGCAATTAATAGTATTGCTGCCCATCTTGTTTTTTATGGAATGTACTGTTCGTTTAGTCTGACATTACCAATGATTACTCTTATCCTAGCCCTCCAAGTGAGGGAGAATATGCTCCATGTTCTCCAGATTGAATTATCATAGCTGAACATGGACACCCTTTTTGACTTCATTATTACTACAAAATCACATACTTTTCTATTTGTAAGGAACAATGTACAGTGCAATGTAGGAATAAATACCCTAAATTATGGAAATTAGGTTACTTACCCATGATCATATAGCCAATTAGAACAAAGTTTAACTTCTGTAAGCTTATAGTTGATGACCTTAGGAATTAGAAATAAAAACAAAACACAGCTTTGCTTAGATGTATGGTGAGCCTTGTTCTTTTGTGGTGATTTAGAATAAGCAGAATTGGCCAAATGCAATGTACCTTGAAGCAGTTTAAGAATATTAATTCACATCAGGTCAAAATAGTCACTATTATGAAAGTAATTACAACAACCACTGCTTTTTCTTATTCTCCATTTATGTGATTCAGCAGTACAAGCAAAATGAGGTAAATTTATAGGTCAAGAACAGTCAGCCTTCCTCAGGTGTTCTGAAGCCTTTTAGGATTGTGTTACAGCCCAATTTCACCTTAGACTTGTCTCCTTTCTCAGTTTCATGCATTTCTTGTTGCTTAATTAATTTTAGCAATCAGTGTCGCTCTGGAAAGCTTTCAAATCACAGATTCCTGCTCACAAATGGATAAATGTAAGTATACTGGGAAAACACACATAAGCCATTAAGATGAATATCTACCATGAATGACTCATGTAATATATTAATATCTATTCTTGCCATTTCCATCAATAGAAACTCCATAGATAATTTGTATTCCTCTCAGCTTGTACTGGATCTTTTTCTTTTTCTCAGACTCTTTTCTCTAACTGTTGATAATCCCTAGTGAATGTCATTACCATATGCATTTAGAATGGGGTAAAAACATCAGTGTGAGCTGGGAGAGAGGAGAGCAGTCGGTTATAGTTTTCTTCCAATGAGGGAACTACATGGGAGTTAAAGCAGCTCAGAGTCATTAAAGATCCATTGTAAATAAGATTTGTGCTCTTTGACATAGTTTTTTTTTTCCTGCCCACTGTCCAATGGGGTATATTTTCCCCATGACTCAGTTTTTTCCTTGGAGCAGCCATTATAAAACAATGCATCATATCAATCACTCAAACTATTCAATTAAGATACATTTCTTATGCTTTTGAGTGTAGACTTTCACTTACTCTCAGTTACTTTTCTTCCTCTCTCATTCTTCCTCTCTCTTATTTTATCTATCTCTTTCTCTGCTTTGCATTTTCTAGGTTGAACTATGGGAAATATTGAAAGCAGTGCATTGAAGTAGGTACTATTCCTGCCATTCATTCATCCATCCAACAAAAATCGTTAAGCATCTAATGTATACCTTTTTTACATTAACCGATTTCTCTTTGCAGGTCTATTGCTGAAATAGCATTTAGGAACTTTACATTTGCTTTTTGTTTGTTTATTTTATTATCATTGTTTTGCTATATACCAGATGAATTCTTGTCTCCTTATTGTGGCTGGGGCTGCAATACAGCTTGTCAAGAACAAACTGTAGAAAATAGCTTCATTTCATAGCAGCTTTTCTCCAATTTCATTTGTCTCAGGATGCAGTAAAATTGAACAAACACAGCTCATCCTACATTCTGAAGATGGGGTACATTTATCAGGTAGGTCTATCAGACATTATTACCGCACTTTGATGGAGGAATTACCCCTAGTGCAATGCAAAGCCAGTGAAGTAAATTAGCAATAAAAAGCTAGTATCTTCTTCACGGCTTTGTTTTATTGCTGAATTCCCTGATAGCAGTCTCCTTCCAAAATCCTCATTCATCAAGTGAAACACGATTTTACTGGCAATATACATAAAGCAAATTACAAAATAACAATTTTAATATTGTGGAAGGTGTTTGACAATTCAATTGTTTTGTAAGTTCTTTCACCTTTTCTTTACTTTTTAATTAAGCGTATATAATTGCATATCAAAGCAGTGTAGAAGACTGCATTTCCTTTTTTAAAGCACCTTCCTTATACGTTTTTAAATTTATATATTCTGAATTAAGCTGGTTATTATGATGTTATTTACCATGATTGATGAATAAAGATTGCAGGAACATTTTTAAGCAGTGACTAGTCTAGATATTATAATATAGCTATCATAGCATACAAACAATTTGATTTTAAATAGAGCTTCATGCTCAAACTTAAAAATAGCAAAATAGCCTAAATGATTTCAAATTATTTTTGTTTTTCTTATTTATTTTTATTTATTTATTTTTTGAGACAGAGTTTTGCTCTTGTTGCCCAGGCCGTAGTGCAGTGGTGCAATCTCGACTCACCGCAACCTCTGCCAACTGGGTTCAAGTGATTCTCCTGCCTGAGCCACCTGAGTAGCTGGGGACTAGAGGTGCCACCACCATGCCTGGCTAATTTTTGTATTTTTAGTAGAGACGGGATTTCACCAGACGGGGTTCAAGACCAGGCTGGTCTTGAACTCCCTACTTCAGGTGATCAGCCTGCCTTAGCCTCCCAAAGTGCCTGTATTACAGGTGTGAGCCACCATGCCCGGCCTAGGACTTTTCAATAAGTAATCCAAGTACTCAAACCCAAACCTACTTTGTGAACCCCTGCATGTTGACTCTGTGGATTCTATTTTAATATTTCATATTGTCCATGAGTATTTTGTTCAATGTCTTTAAGAAGAAAATCAGTCGTGATTTTCATCTGCTTTTCCTCTGTAATTCCAAATAACACCTCATTTCACTCTCAAAAATTATCTGTTTTGCACAATAAATTATATGGCCACCCTGCCTAAGAAGCAGTTTGCTAGACTATCTGCTGCTGAAGGACAGGGCTTCATTAAAAACTAACCTCTTTCGTTTACATTTTGCTTTGCAAGTTATGAAGCAATTTCATGTTTATTTTTATATTTCACACACTCCTAAGGAGGCCTAGAGGGATTGAATATTTGCCCAAGTTCAAATGGGAGAGAAAGACTTTAGCAGTCATTTTTTGCATTTTTTGACAACTAACCAGACATGTTTTCCTAGGTGCATATACTTTTAGTCTAATGCAAAAACTCACTCTTGTTGGTACTCAACAAACACTTACTGAAATAAATTTAGAGAAAATGTTGGGCCCTCAGAGAAAAAGACCAAGCTGCTGATGTTGCCTGAAACAGTTTATCCTAGTTTGGGAGAAGAGACACACAAAGTATGATGTGAGGGAAGATTGAGGATTTTGCTGTTCTAACATTTCTCTTTACTTCAACAAGAAAGATCCTTTGATTTTCTTACCAAAGGAATTTCACTCATCTAATGTAGCTTTCTTGGAGGAAGTTTACTTGGGGTTGATGGAAATAGAAAATAACTTTTTAAAATGGAGAGAATAATGTCTCAAAGAGCTGTGCATTTTGGCCAGCAGCTTAGCTCTGGTAGCAGACAGGACAACGTGTGTTGCTTTGCTCCATGGTGGAAATATTCACCAACAGTTTTAGAAACTGCCACCAAAGCAGCAGCTCATTTTCTCTGTAGCTGCTCTCCCTGGCCATTTTAAACCATCACTGCCTCAACCCCATAGGCGATTTTCTGGCAGATGACTGATGTCTGAGGAATGTAGAAACAAGGTCATTAGCTTTCCTCCAGTTAAGTCCTTCCTGTCGCTCACAATAACAGAACCTCAACTCCATGTCCTTTTTCAAGCTGAGGCATTTATTATCCAGATGAATGGACCCAAAGATTGTTTTATTTTAAACATTTCAATGACTGACTCTGTATAGTTATTTAATAGTTGTTTGAACTCCTAATATTTTTTTAAATAAATTCTTGTCTCCTGACTGAAGGCACTTTTGGAGAATGTACATGTTTCTGAACCTGACCATTTGCTAGCGGGTAGACGTTAATGAGAAGTCCTCCTTGCTTCAAATGCAGCATTTCTTTTGTGAGATCATTTCTTTGACATCTCAGTCACTCTGACACTTCCCTGCTGCTTCCTCTAGGATGTTAAAAAAAATTGTCTTAAGCAATAAAGCATGGCTGTTTCTTTCTCTCTCCCAACCCCACCCCTAGACACTTTCCCACCTCCTTTCATCCATTCTTTACTAGAATGGGGAGTGTTGGATAGGACCTCCACACTCCCTTTATCCTTAACAAACACTGAAAGTCCCGATCATATAATTTTACCCCTTTGATTTGAGATGCACTGTCTATGTTTTGACCCTAATAGGATTGTTTTGCATCTGCTGCATTCTTTTTTCACCATAAAATCTGAACACATGGCTTGGATTATAGCTGCAAAACCACACTATAAATTCCATAACAAACAATTTGCTCGGTGGTAGAGATTTGAACAGCAAACATCGGTAAAGTGAAACACACTTTCCCATATTCTCTTTGATGAATCCTTGGTATGCACAAAAATAACAGAAAAATATTTGGGAAAAAATAATGTGGAGGATTTACTCTGTGTGCCATTAGAAGCTGAAGTTTAAATAAACTAAAAAGAAAAAAAATTAAATTAACTTTTATTTTTGAAGACAGAAGATGAGGTAGAAATGACCTTTAAAGAAGATCTTAGTGTTTATTTTCAGTGAAAAGAAAGTTACAAGTCTGACAGAACCACAGTTGAAACACAGCAGAAATTCTAAGCTTTTCCTTACCTTCTGCAACTTTTTCTTACATAGTTATGAACTGAGTTGAGCATAGTGAGATATTGTTACACTTAAAAGGCTTTTAATTAAACTTGCAGCACTGTTTCAAAGAGGGGAGGAACCATAGCTCAGCTGTATTTACACAATGAATTTGAAATGATCTTGGCTGGGTATTTGCCACCAGAAATTAATGTTTTCTTTCCCAAGACAAAACTTGAGAAAAAGCATGGTTTGGAAGGAGAAGGACTAATACACTGAAAACCAATGTTGAGAAAATTAGATCACCATGCTATGCCTTCTTTTGATTTTCAGTTCTATTTTACAGAAGAATGAAGTTCTCTAAGAGTTTAGAGAAAGGGACAGTAATATCAAATTATTAATGTGAGACTCAATACCACACACTTAAAATAGGAATCTTGATGTATTTTTTATACTTCATTTTATTTTTTTCCTTTTCTTTTTTTTTTTTTTTTTTGTGAGATGGGGTTTCACCATGTTGGCCAGGCTGGTCTTGAACTCCTAGGTGATCCTCCTACCTCAGCCTCCCAAAGTGCTGAGATTACAGGTGTGAGCCATAGTGCCCCGCCTTGTTATACTTTAACTGGGAAATTTAAGTGTTTGAAAAGATATTTACTATGATACCATAATACTGCCTATTCTTGGTCTTCAAGTTCTGTCATCCTCCTTTAAAGAATTTATGGGAGAAACTTTCTTCCAGCTATAAATATTTATTGGATTGAATTAACGCTTGTTTGAATTTTGAGTATGTTGGGGTTTTATCATTTCCAATAGATGCCTTAAGTATAACCAATGCTTTCTAAACACATGCAACATTAACAAAATTATCTTTAAGAAGGTATTTTCAAAGTGGTGAGACCATTGGTCTAAACCAATAGCTTTCAAAATGTGGACTCCAGACTGTCGGAATCAGCATCAGCTAGCAACATGGTGGAAATGTAAATTCTTCAGCCCCATTTCAATTACTCAGGGGTGACCCAGCAAGTTGTGTTTTAACATTACCTTCAGGTGTTTAAACACTAAGGCTTAATAATCACTACCTAACAAAGGCGTGAGGATTTTTGAAATAAAATGTTCTTAGGCATGTTTCTCTCAATGCAAATTTATAATAGCTTTGGATTACAACTGATCATTCTTCCAGGCATCTGCAGTGTATATTTATGAGCAACATGTCAGAGAATTAACTCGGATTTGCTAGTGATAGGAAATTAAGAATTGGGGCACAAATCAATTATTTATCTCTTTGATGATAGAATTTTCTGTATCTAATGGCCTTACTCAGAAACTGATTTAGTAGATTTGGGGTAAGACCTCATGCTATATTCTAAATGTTTTGTGTCCCCATCTCCCAAATTTATGTATTGAAATCCTAAGCTCCATGGTGATGGTGTTAGGAAGTAGACCTTTTAGGAAGTGATGAGGTCATGAAGGCAGAGCCTTCATAATTGGAATGAGTGACCTTATGAGAGAGCATCCTGAGAGCTCCCTTGCCCTTTTCACTATGGGAGGATGCAGTGAGAAGACGGGATCTTTAAACCAAAAACTGGGACCTCAGCAGACAGTGAATCTGCCTGCTCCTCCATCTCAGACTTCCCGGCCTCCAGAACTGTAAGAAATAAATTCCTGTTATCTATAAGCTACCCAGTGTATAATATTTTGTTACAGCAGCCCAAACAGACCAAAATGCCTAGTAATACACATGTTTATCTTGTACCCTCAGAAAAGAAAAACTGCCAGAGAGAATTCACATCACTGCAGACAGAGAGTATCAAATGGCAAAGAAATGTACCTGACAACTTTTCAGAAATTTTAAGACTATTAAAAGAAGATCAGTTTGGAGTCTTACTGCAAAGTAAGTGCAAATTCTTTGCTTAATGACTGTTTTCCTCTTCCTGAGGACTGAACCCTTTGATAATTACCAAGAACACAATATTTGTTTTTGGATTTACCATCTAGAGCTATGCAAATAGCGTTAGTTGATCACTTCTTTTCTTAAAAGTACCTTGGAAATATCATTAAGAGGACTAATCCTGGATTCAGTTTGGGGTTCTTACGTTAATAAACTTCTGGGAAAACCAACAAAAACACACAGGTACAGAAAAAAACATACATAATTCAGGGGTTAAAAGCAGAAGTCCCCAAGGAATAAGTGATCATGCTGTTTTGAGGTACCTCAATACAATTCATAACTGACTTCGCTCTGGGTGAATGACCCTGTAGTGAGGTATGAAGCGCCGTGGAGAATGGAAGGAGCAGCGGCCTACGTATTAGAAGGCCTGAATCTGTGTCATCCTGATTCTGCTGTTAACTTGCTATGCGACCTTGCAAGTCCCTTGACTCTGAGTCCTTCAGTTTTTTTCATAAGGATTGTACTATTGTCTATACCAGAGGTTGTTATAAGTGTGGCATGGGATAACACATATAAAATTGCTTTGGAAAACAAAAGCAATAATGCAAATAGAATGTCTATCTATCTATCTATCTATCTATCTATCTATCTATCTATCTATCATCTATCTATCATCTATCTATCTATCATCTATGTACACCTTACCATAATATTGAGAATTAATAATGTGGTTAATAGGCCATGTTGGAGATCTATTGTTTTGAGCTTGGAAAAATATAAAATGACTGTTTTAATTTCAAATACAATTTTTAAATCATGAAAAAAATTATTTAAATTAGACTTCATTCAGATTTAGGTGGATATAGAACTCTTGATTAAAAAGTTTTTGTTAAGCAACTTGTAAAGACCCATGTGAATGAAAGACAGTCATCAATAAGCTGGTTTTGGTCTGGTCCTGTTTGAAGGGAAGGAATAAGCTGAGTTGATTTCTTGTAGACTGTAAGCATTAACAAACAGAAGACATTTTCTTTCCCTAGAGAAATTAAAAACAGGCAGGTGGATTATAAATAGGGTGACTATTTAATTTGTTACTGAAACTAGGACACTTTTAAGAGTAAAAGGGGGCCAGGCTTTAGTTTGTAGAGGAAACTAAAGGAGGAGGAAAACAGTCATTAAGCAAAGAATTAGCACTCACTTTGCAGTAAGACTCCAAACTATTACTAAAGTGATACCTGGGTGTATCACTTGAGGTCAGGAGTTTGAGACCAGCCTGGTCAACATGGTAAGCCCCCATCTCCACTAAAAATACAAAAATTAGCCAACCGTGGTGGCACATGCTTGTAATTCCAGCTATTTGGGAGGCTGAGGCATGAGAATCGCTTGAACCTGGGAGGCAGAGGCTGCAGTGAGCCAAGATCGCACCACTGAGCTCCAACCTGCATGACAGAGCATAGGCGTAAAGTAACATAGGTAAACCGGCACCTAAGCTGTTTAGTTATGATACTCCCTCAAGGTGAGTAAAGTCAGAATAAGCCCATCAGCAAAAAGATTCTGAAATGTAACTAGCCTTTCCATACAGGTTACATGTGACTGTAACCTGGTGAGGTTAGTCGGATCACCATGTTGAGCAGAGAACGAGAGCAGAGGCCTGTGGAAAGCCCAGGAAGCTACTGTGCCTTGGGCAGAAGCAGGCAACTTCAGGCAGTGGGGATGGAAGAAATGTTTACAGGTTTCTCTGAAGTGAAGCATCAAACATGTGCCTGAGCTGTTGTCTGCCGAGAGGCTGCAGTACCAGACATACCAGTTTGGTACGTCAAGTGCAGAGATGAGTGACTATGAATAAAAGCTTCAGGTCAATGTCAAGTCTACCAAATGGAGTTGCAAACAGCTCCCAGTTCTGCAAGCAAAGGCTATAGACATAAATCAAAGAGCAATCTTCCAATGTCAGCAGTGCAGGAAAGACTGGCCACTTGTCACGCTTCAGTGTCCTCAGCCACCGTCTCACACATGGAGAGTAATTACAGTTGGTGGTGTCATCTGAGAGGAGTGATGGCAGGAGCAGGACTGGTCGATGAGGTGAAGGGAGAGGATGAAGTGTGCCCCATATTAAGAGATACAATTTACCCCTCTCCATTTATATGTACTCCCAGAACCATAGGGAATCACGTAACAATACTTTCCCTTTGAGGCATGCTTTCTCATGATTTATAAGAAATGCCTTATTTCCAGCATGTCTCCAGCATGTGTTTATGGAAGCACATTGCGGCCCTATAATCCTGCCAGGGTAACAAGCCTAAAGACATTTTACTAAATGAGTTTTTAGGAATAAATCAATGTTCACAATGTCATATTGTTAGGATTATTTTAAATCCTGAAAAAAGATAACCTAGCACTCACCCTCAGGGGAGAGTCAACTTTCTCCAGAGTCCTTGTGTGTGATATCCTGGTCCAGGAATGTCCCACAGTGGCAGGTGGGACCCTCTATACTGCTGAATAGCCGGCTTCGTAATCAAAGTGTCATTGACTTTCTTTTTTTTTTTTAAGACAGGATCTCATCCTGTCACCTAGGCTGGAGTGCAGTGGCACGATCATGGCTCACTGCAGCCTCAACCTACTGGGCTCAAGTGATCCTCCTGCCTCAGCCTCCCCAGTAGCTGGGATTACAGGCATATGCTATGATAGCTGGTTAACTTTTTACAATTTTTTTGTAGAGATGTCATCTCCCTATGTTTCCCAGGCTGGTCTTGAACTCCTGGGCTCAAGTGATCCTCCTGCCTTGGCTTCCCACAGTGCTGGGATTATAGTATGAACCACGGCACCTGGGCCGCTGACTTTTTTGATGAATCAGCCATAAATTTCAAAGTGCTTATTTTTCCAAGAAAGCATTCTTCTTTGCTAATTCCTTATGGAGATAGTTATAAAAAGATTGAAATGAAAGTATTCCATATGAGGAGAATAAGCACAAAATATTAATAGGTATTTACTTATTTATATTTGGCTAACTTCTTTTAAAACTTTGCTCCTAAAGAAATGATATCAAGTGTTTGCATGGGTTTCATGTTTTCCAAGAAACCTGAGAAGAATGGGCTGAACACACTCTTATATTGATTGTAAATCCATTTTCATTTTCTGTTATTCATTTATTGCATAAAGTTTTAGGTTATCAATTCATAAAGCAGTTCTGGAACTTGCATTATTCACTGAGTCTTCTGATACAGTGAATGCTTTTAAAAATAGTTACGTGATTATATTAAATATTTTTAAGTAAATACTAGTAGACATAGAAGCCAGTACATTGCTATTGCCAGGGTATTAATCCAGCCTTGGAAAAAGCATAAATCCTACATTTACTTCATGATTGCTTTAAAGCACAGCTTTTTCTTTGTAAATACATTTAAAAAGATTTTAAAAATTAATTATTCTGGCAAAACCATGTTGTATTATAGAGAAGTAGCAATTTCCAAGGCCAGATTATGATTTTTTCCTCCTATTCTGATAAAGGAGTAGGTCAGTACTCTACTGTCCAATTTTCAAATCATGTTATTTGCAGGAAAGAGGATCTTTCTGAGGATTGTTCAGTTCCCTTTGTTAAAGAAACATACCAACATTTGTAGTTTTCTGTTTTTCAGAATGGCAGTAGTGATATTTCAGGTAAACAGAGTCTCAACCTTCAGTGGAGTGGAAATGCCTCCTTAGATATGCTTGTTGTCAATGTCGTGCCCTTTAGCTTAGGGGTAGATTCTCTAGGCTTCATTTCATTCTATCTGTTTCCTATTTGCACACATTTAACAGTTGCTTGACAGTTTGGAGTTTTAATTTTGGCCTTAATGTCTCAAGTGTTCCTTAATTAAATTCTAAAAAAAAATTTTACATTACATTTTAAAAAATTTAATTTAATTAAAAAACCTTTAAGTTCAGGGGTACATTTGCAGGTTTGTTATATAAGTAAACTTGCGTCATGGAGATTTGTTGTACAGATTATTTCATCACCCAGGTATTAAGCCCAGTACCTGTAAGTTATTTTTCCAGATCCTCTCCCTCTTTTCACCCTCCACCCTCAAATAGGCTCCAAAATATTACATTTTTTTTTAATTCAGAGATCAAGGGACCAATCTTGCTTGACCTCTATGTGTCACACCAAAATAATGCAATATATTCAGGCTTTCTCAAAGACAGAGCCAAACACGTTATGGCTAGCTTTCCATGATTATAACATCCTACGAGATCATTGCAAATCTGAGCTTTGCAGAGTGCAGAACCCAGGGTTGTCTCTTTGAATTGTAAATAGCAATCAGCTGTTTAATGACATAATGTGAATTTTTATAGGCTCATCTAATTCTACAACAAGATTGCTCTCTGAACACTTGAGATAAATCTTCACTCACTTTCTGGAATTGTTCAACACACAGGTTAATTTCTTACTATTGATTTTCTCCAGTATGCATCTTGAATGCTTCAAGATCTCTTGACCTATACAAAATATCTCTGTGGCAGAAGGTTAAAAAAATAGCTCTTCAAATTTATGACAAACCCACAGCCAATATAATACTGAATGGGCAAAAACTGGAAGCATTCCCTTTGAAAACTGGCACAAGACAAGGATCCCTCTCCCACCACTCCTATTCAACATAGTATTGGAAGTTCTGGCCAGGGCAATCAGGCAAGAGAAAGAAATAAAGAGTATTCAAATAGGAAGAGAGGTAGTCAGATTGTCTCTGTTTGCAGATGACATGATTGTATATTTAGTAAACCCCATCACCTCAGCCCAAATCTCCTTAAGCTGATAAGCAACTTCAGCAAAGTCTCAGGATACAAAATCAATGTGCAAAAATCACAAGCATTCCTATACACCAATAACAGACAAACAGAGAGGCAAATCAAGAGTGAACTCCCATTCACAATTGCTATAAAGAGAATAAAATACTTAGGAATACAACTAAAAAGGGATGGGAAGGACCTTTTCAAGGAGAACTACAAACTACTGCTCAAGGAAATAAGAGAGGACATATGCAAATGGAAAAAACATTCCATGCTCATGAATAGGAAGACTCAATATCATGAAAATGGCCATACTGCCTAAAGTGATTTATAGATTCAATGATATTCCCATCAAACTAACATTGACTTTCTTCACAGAATTAGAAACAACTACTTTAAATTTCATATGGAACCAAAAAAGAGCTCATATAGCCAAGAGAATCCAAAGCAAAAGGAACAAAGCTGGTGGCATCATGCTACCTGACTTCAAACTGTACTGCAAGGATACAGTAACCAAAACAGCATGGTACTGGTACCAAAACAGACAAGAGTACAGAACAGAGGCCTCAGAAATAATGCTAGACGTCTGCAACCTTTTGAGCTTTGACAAACCTTACAAAGACAAGTAATGGCAAAGGATTTCCTGTTTAATAAATAGTGTCGGGAAAACTGGCTAGCCATATGCAGAAAACTGAACTAGACCCCTTCCTTATGCCTCATATAAAAACTAACTTAAGATGGATGAAAGACTTAAATCTAAGACCTAAAATCATAAAAAACCCAGAAGAAAACCTAGACAATACCATTTAGGACATAGGCATGGGCAAAGACTTCATGACTCAAACACTGAAAGCAACGGCAACAAAAGCCAAAATTGACAAATGAGACAATTAAACTAAAGAGCTTCTGCAAAGCAAAAGAAACTATCATCAGAGTGAACAGGCAACCTACAGAATGGGAGAAAATGTTTGCAATCTATCCATCTGACAAAAGGCTAATATCCAGAATCTACAAAGATCTTAAACAATTTGCAAGAAAACAAAAATCCCATCAAAAAGTGGGAGAAGGATATGAACAGCCACTTTTCAAAAGAAGACATTTATGTGGCCAAAAAACATATGAAAAAAAGCTCATGATCACTGGTTATTAGAGAAATGCAAATCAAAAGCACAATGAGATACCACGTCATGCCAGTTAGGATGGCAATCATTAAAAAGTCAGGAAACAACAGATACTGGAGAAAATGTGAAGAATAGGAACACTTTTATACTGTTGGTGGGAGTATAAATTAGTTCTACCATTGTGGAAGACAGCTGGCGATTCTTCTAGGATCTAGACCCAGAAATACCATTTGACCCAGCAATCCCATACTGGGTATAAAGGATTATAAAATTGTTTTACTATAAAGACACATGCACACATATGTTTATTGCAGCAATGTTCACAATAGCAAAGACTTGGAACCAACCCAAATATCCATCAGTGATAGACTGGATAAAGAAAATGTGGCACATATACACCATGGAATACTATGCAGCCATAAAAAAGGATCGGTTCATGTCTTTTGCAGGGACATGGGTGAAGCTGGAAACCATCATTCTCAGCAAACTAACACAGGAGCTGAAAACCAAACACTACATGTTCTCACTATAAGTGGGAGCTGAACAATGAGAACACATGGACACAGGGAGGGGAACATCACACAGCAGGTCCTGCCATGGGCTTGGAGGCTAGGGGAGGGCTAGCATTAGGAGAAATACCTAATGAGATGTCGGGTTGATGGGTGCAACAAACTACCATGACATGTGTATACCTATGTAACAAACTTACACTTTCTCCACACGTATCCCAAAATTTAAAGTATTTAAAAAATATATATATATAGCTCTTCAAAGAATGCTTGAAAAATCAGTAAACATAATGAAGTAACTCTTCCCCAACTATTAGCCTGGTAGTGTAGACATTTTGATTAGGTTTCAAGGAGATTACAAAATCATGAATATGTACAAGAAGAGGCTTCATGGTCTGTATGAAAGTTTCTAAATGTGAATATTATTTTAGTGGGCATCCCCAGGGAGGCCTAGCATTCTCATCTAGTGACCGAAAATCTCAAGTTAAATCACAGTAATATCCAGAACCAGCTTGGGTAACAGAGTGAGGCAACATAGCACAAGAGTAAAAACACAGGAATAGGGGTCAGAAGACAACAGCCCTGCCAGGAGCTGGGCCTTTCTGAGCTTTTGTTATTCATCCGAAGAAAAAAAAGGATTGGATCCTAGGAGTCTTCCCAGTTCTAAAATTTAATGCTCTAGATCCAAGATGTTATATAAATGTTTATTAACCGGAACACCAACTTAAAACAAAAAAGCAAAGTCAAAACATTGTTATACCAAAGAAACTTGAGAGATGTGTAATAAAAATGATTCTTTCTTCCTGAGGACCTTAGTACTTGTATATTCTTCCCCCGACCTGACATTATTGAACAGTAAAATATTGTTTTAAGGATTAAATGTTCCATTTAGTTTTCAGAGCATGTCTTTCTTCATCCCCGAAATATTGTCCCATTAACAGAAAATGGTGTCAGAAACACTTTATTAATGGTAATCCCTTTTATGAGCTTCCAAAGAAAAGAACATCATTCATATCAACACTACAAAATAACAATTTAAAAAACCCAAATAAATAGAAGAACAAACAAAACCACTTCTAAGCTCCCACCACTGACTAAACAGAATTAAAGTGAACCAAGCCGTTTTCACACATCACTTGGAGTGTAGATTTATTTGAGTTTAAGAATCTTCTAAACAAATTACATCAACCTCACTCCATTTCCTTGCTTAATAAAAATTATGACCGGACAAATATCAGACTTTTAAGATTTTAAAAATAATAGAAAAGTAAAAATAGATTTCCCAGGGAAGTCCCTCTCCTAAATCTTATATGGTTTTGCTGCTTCTGTGAAATCTTTCTTTGGAGTAACTTGATAGCATAGTTTTTTTGTTGTTTTTAACTGGATTCATAGAAGGGCATTGCATTAGAAATTCAGTGGATTCATGGAGCATGAACTTTCACGAACAGTAAGAAACCTTTGCTGTGAAAGGAAAATAGCAAATATAAATGAAAGAATGTGATCACTGGATGTCCATTTCATTGTGTAATTTAAGTCTTACATTAGATATTGCACCCTCATTTAAAAATAAAGCAAAAGAAACCAGAATGGTATGAGCACTCTGAAATCATCTGCAGCACTTGTAAGGGTTAAACCCGCTTAACCCATTCTTAGTCAGAGAATGGCACCAAAGAGTACAGCTCACCCCTTAAGTGTGGCTAGTTCTAAACCTGTGATATCCTCAGGTTGTCAGAGCAGTCATGCACTCCATTTTCACCCCCCTCCCACCCATTTAATAGGATCCATTCATAGCTACTCACTACTGCAGGATTTGACCTGAGAAATGCTAGGATTTATTAGCTCAGCAGTTGTTTTGAAAAGTCCCTAAATAATCTTTGCCCTTGGCCAGCAAGGGAACTGCTAGTCTCGAGTTCTCAGAAGCAGCTGGTGAGATTCTCAGCCAAGTTCTTCAGATGCAGGAAGTTCTTCAAAACAACCTACTTTGACATGGCATTTACAGATTTTTAAACCAGCCTTCCTGGATCGAGGAAATGTTATTCCTGACTCCTTCGACCCAGATGCTGGCTAAAAATTTCATTTATAACCTATAGGTAATCACTCTTTCTTCCTTCTTTCTTTCTAGGAGCTGGCATGTTGGTTAAATTTTTCTAAAACAGTCATATTAATGTGTTCAAAAATCCACTGCTGAGTCTCAGAGAGAGGGTCACATCTGGCCATGAAAATCTTCTTCTCTGCGGGGTTGCAATCCATGCAGCTGTTGCTCACAGAATGGAATAATGTTCTGTCCTGGAGGAGTTGAGAAGAAAAGAAAAGACTGTTGTAATATGTGGTGAATGGTTACAACCCAAAATATACAGAAGTAAGATATTTCTGTTTATATTTCAGTATATTTTCATTGTGTAAATAGATCAGCTCCCAAATCAAACAATAGCAGATGGAGTTGCCAATATGGAATGTGAATTTGTAGGATCTATTGGCACTATGTAGGGCTTACAAGTAGGTTCAATTAGAGTCAAAAAATGGTTTTCATTCATTCATTCATTCAATGATTCATTAAAAAAAAAAGCAATCCATGGCTGGGCACAGTGGCTCATGCCTGCAATCCCAGCACTTTGGGAGGCTGAGGTGGGTGGGTCACAAGGTCAAGAGATCGACACCATCCTGGCCAACATGGTGAAACCCTGTCTCTACTAAAAATAAGAAAATTGGAAAATTAGCTGGGTGCGATGGCACCTGCCTGTAGTTCCAGCTACTTGGGAGGCTGAGGCAAGAGAATCGCTTAAATCTGAAAGGCAAAGGTTGCAGTGAGCCAAAATCATGCCACTGTATTCCAGTCTGGCAACAGAGCGAGACTCTATTTCAAAAAAAAAAAAAGCAATCCATTCGTTTTCTCTGTGGTGAGCCTTTTGCTATCTGCTTGGATTTTGAAGATAATAAGTGCATAGGGTTGCTTGTCAAGTAGCAAGTATTTTATAGCAAGTATACAATAATGAAGCTGTTTGAGGAGAAACAGGTACCCAAAAAATTATATTTGAGTCCACAGGAAATAGTACCCCCTGCTCACATGCACACACAATGACCAGAAGAGTCATAATTCCCTCACACTGAAAATACAAAAACAAAAACAAAAAAAAGCCAAAAGTGATAGGTTTTCAGCTGCCCTTTTCAGAAGATGAATATGGTTTGGAGACAGAGGACACACAGGCAATAGCTGAATGCACAAATTCAAATTTGCTAGCTCTCGAGCTTCAGCCTCTTCTCAATCCCTTCATTGATATAATGCAGGTGTTCCGGTGCTGCCGTTCTCATTGCTTTCTGAAAAATGGAGGAGGCAGCATTCATTTTAAAACAACCCCAGGTATATGATGCAGATAACAGCCCAGTGAATGAAAAGATACCACGGGGACAGAAAGTTTAAGTAGTGAGCAAGCTCATTGTCTGAACTAGCTCTGTTAACACACACCCCCTTTTAATTGTGTAATTGGGGAAAAGGTAATACAAAAAAAATTTTTTTCCTTAACTAATAATAAATTTATCTCTAGTATGTCTATAATGCCAGTCATATGAGAAAACATTCCCAAATCACTGCTTACATTTTTAGGATCAAGTAATGTTTTAATATTTAGTGTAAAAAAGGTTTACAGGTTCTGGTTACCTTTCTTTATCTGAGGAATACTAAACTTACAATGCTTTTAGAATTAGGAGTTTCTCAGACACCCTTTGTAAACATTTCTGGGCTGCTCCTGGATTTTAAGACTCCATCAACCAATATTTAATGTCCTTTTAGGATCCGGATGTTTGCATAGTTAAGCACTGCATGAAGGAAGAAAGAATAAGGAAGGAGAAAGGCAGCCTGCAGGTGATTTAGTTTGCCTGTTTCTATTTTCAGTGTAAACAAAGAGCTGCGCCTAATACAAAGCCTTGCTATTCTCTTCTGCTCTCTTTAAAGGAGTTTCCTGAGTTTACTGTGGATTTTACTTTCCTTACACAAAGAGGACTCCTGAGATCTCTTTGCCATTTTATTTCCCTCCTGCTTCTTTAATTCCACCCACGTCTGACCCCAGGAGAGACTGAGAAACTCTCTCCTCCTCTGAGATGGAGGAAGCAGCTTCCTGGAGGAAGGAGAATCTCCGCCAGCCCTTCTTTCTGGGAGGACCAGATATTTGCTGTCACAGATGCCCTCTCCCAGCCGCTGCTGTGGCCTTTGGGCAGCAGTCCGTTTCACTGTCTTCTGTCTTCTTCTCCAGCATCTCTCATGCTCATTCTCCCAGCCCCACCCACTAGTGAAGCTACGTGGATCTAATAGGTTTAGGTCAGGTTTTCAAAGAGCACTCTTAAGCTATTATAGTCATGAAAATTCTAGGTGACTGCTACATTCTAATTCACTTTCTCTATGCACATGCACTTCTTGCCCTCTCTTCAGTATTTGTATTTTTTCTTGTTGTTACCTTTATCAATAGCTCATGTGTGGCTGGGCCTGGTGGCTCATGCCTGTGATCCCAGAACTTTGGGAGGCTAAGGCAGGTGAATCACATGAGGCCAGGAATTCGAGACCAGCCTGGCCAAACATTTTGTAAACATTTCTGGGTTGCTCCTGGATTTTAAGACTCCATCATGGTGAAACCCTGTCTCTAATAAAAATATAAAAATTAGCCAGGCGTGGTGGTGCACGTCTGTAAACCCAGCTACTTGGGAGGTGGAGGCAGGAGAATCACTTGAACCCAGGAGGCAGACGTTGCAGTGAGCTGAATCAGGCCACTGCACTCCAGCCCGGAAGACAGAGCAAGACTCGGTCTCAAAAAAAAAAAAAAAAAAAAAAAGCTCATGTGAGCCCTTCAGATTAGCAGTTTCTCCCTCAAAACATATATCTCCATAAAAGGTAAGAAGTGAGGAAAGGAGTAGGACATGTTTCTTTTTTGTGTGTGTGTGAACATTTTATTTTTTTGAACATTATTTTCTGAGCCATCAACTGATCATATTTTTCCAAATCCCATATTGTAACACATGCTCAGACAAATACAGGTCTACTCCTGGGGAGAACCAAGTCGAATATGCAAATTCACTGCTACCCTGAACGATCCAGAATGTGTTTCTGTACTTGTACTTCATGTTCTCATAGAAGTTGAAACATTGGATTCCCTTCATCTATCTATGTCTGAGAAGCTTCATCAGTAAAATGAGGGGGTGGATTAGATAAATCTCTGAAGCCTCTTCTAGTCACAAAAATGAATGAGCATTCTAAAGTTCACTAGTGGCAGAGTCAAATGACAGGGTGTCAAACTAGAGACCATTCACAGTGATCAGTAGATCCACATGAGGAATAAGACCCTTAATCCTCTTAAGCTTCTAAAAGCCCTCCCCCCAGACTTCCACATTGCATTTCAACAGGAGAAGTAAAGGCTGACAGACCTGGGCGCCACCCTTTATTGCACTCCTGCAGATCACAGGCATGGTATGGAGGAATCTTTCCGGAAGGCATTGTTTTTACTTAAACACAATCAAACCCCCACCTAAGTCACGTGCCCCACGCCTACTTCATGGATCAAGACCCTTTCACTTGTAATTTCTAGAGTTGTAAGCCCAGGACCGTTTCATATGTAATTTCTAGAGTTGTGACCTTTTTTTTTTCTTTGAGACAGAGTCTTGCTCTGTCGCCAGGCTGGAGTGCAGTGGTGCAATCTCAGCTCACTGCAACCTCCGCCTCCTGGGTTCAAGTGATTCTTCCACCTCAGCCTCCTGAGTAGCTGGGACCACAGGTGTGTGCCACCATGCCCGGCTAACTTTTGTATTTTTAGTAGAGACGCGGTTTCACCATGTTAGCCAGGATGGTCTCGATCTCTTGACCTAGTGATCCGCCCACCTCAGCCTTCCAAAGTGCTGGACCGCGCCTGGCTCAGCTGTGACCCTTTAAAAGCGCAAGGATTTTCTTTGTTGGGGAGCTTGGTTGTTAGGCATCTATGCCACCGCAGCTCCCGGCTGAATAAATTACCACCCAGTGACTGAATAAATCACCACTTTCTTCCTAGTTCCGTGTTCGAGAGGTTTGTCTGTGGTCTTTCCTACTTCACACAGTCTGATTGTTTCCTGGTTGGAGACAGAGCTCTGCTCACCCTTGTCTTGGGAGTGCCCAGCAAATCCTGTGGGGGAAGCTTCTCAGAGCGCCTTCTGCCTGGCCCATAGCAAACGCTTTCCACTTTTGACCTTGGGGGCTAGCTACACCATTGCCATCTTTACGTGTCTACTCAGCTGAGCTTGTGAATTACTAAATGTCTTTCCTGATGCTTTTCCTGGTTGGAATTAAGTCCATGGATCGAGTAATTGTTTTTTGAATGTGGTCTTTGGTTCTATGACAGCTCTTCCCTCCTCTGCCCATCCTCTTGGCAGTCACAGCGGCCGTAACAGAACTGAACACGGTTTTTTTCTGTGGAACAGACTTCTGAGTGTTTTGGCAAGTCTGCTGTTCCATTAACAACCCTCCCTACAGGACGATAGAAGATGTTCCTTCTTTGCTTTTAACTAGATCGGTCTTTGCCCAGTCCTGGGGGTGGCTCTGCCTGTGCTCTGACTGTTCCCAGTGTAACCCAGCATTGCATTTCGCTTCACTCCTTCCACTCTTCCTGGAAGAAAGACTTCTGTCTATTTTTGTGCTTTTCTATTTGTTTGGGTTTTGTTTTGTTTTGCCTGAGAAAATTAGAAATTGTTGAGAGGAATGTGAAAGTTTGAATCCAGGACTACTTCATAATCAATGCTCAGTGACAGTCGACCAGTCCGCCCTGGCAAGTGTAGGTGCGCCTTTCCAGGTAGCCCATTGAAAGATGCACTTCTTTATAGCAGGCCCGTGGACTTGATTGGCATGCATGTGACACTTTAGGACTCATGGGTTTGTGCTAGACTTTATTGGGTTCCATAGTCCTCTAGGGTCTGAACTTTAAAAGAATGTGTGAGTTGGCCGGGCGTGATGGTTCGTGCCTGTAATCTTGGCACTTAGGGAGGCCGAGGCGGGCAGATCATGAGGTCAGCAAATTGAGACCATTCTGGCCAACATGGTGAAACCCCGTCTCTACTACAAATACAAAAATTTGCTGGGCGTGGTGGCGCATGCCTGTGGTCCCAGCTGCTGGGGAGGCTGAGGCAGGAGAATGGCTTGAACCTGGGAGGTGGAGGTTGCAGTGAGCTGAGATTGTGCCACTGCACTCCAGCCTGGTGACAGAGCGAAACTCCATATCAAAAAAAAAAAAAAAAAGGAAAAAAAGAATATTTGAGGCTGGCACAGTGGCTCAAGCCTG